TTAAATCTGATATTTGTTGGCGATTTGTTTTGTTCATAGAACTGGTAAGAAAAATATAAGATTCATATATCTGCTTCCAAAATCATACCCGAGATATGTATTTCTAATATTCTGTTCATTATGAAGTAGTGCTGTCATCATAATGCATTTCATCAGCCAGAATTAGTTTATGTTAAAGTACCTGCTCATTAATAATCTCACAGTGTCGTCTGCATAAATCATTTTCTACAATTTCGAGTCTAATCTTAAATTTTAAAATTTCACTGGATATGATTAATGGGAAGTTGGCATCCCGTAAGTAGCGTCACAAATTTTGTATTCATCTTGATGCAAATAAAGCAAATAAAACATAATTTGAACAAAGGTAAAGCATTTAAAAAGCCTATAGTGTACAAGTTCTCATATTTTATTGAGATGTCATCTAATATTTTGAAAGATTATATGTAACCCATGCCCATTTAGATAAAAGATAAAATAAAATATAAATCGGGGTATTAATTTATCATATTTGCTACTGATACATAAACCTAGGCATTTACAAGCTCGTAGAAACATAAAGGAGGTAATGAGATAAATGGATTTGCTTATAGGGTCGAATACGAGCAGTCATTCTATATTCTATTTAGTTTATGGTAAAACATGAACAATACTACATATTTCATAGTGATCGCTGTGTCTGAAATACGACTGTGAAAGATCGAAACGAAGAGCAATAGAAGAAGAAAATACACGCTATAAAATATGCTTATCTGTTAGATTGAAAGTCACTTTATATTTAGGTTAAGATAATTTGTTATGCGTTTTTGAGAGATTTATACTGTCGACAATATAAAAGCAGCATTTTGTTAAAATGATCAATAGCGAATGAAGTTTATAATTTCGCACCGACTGCTTAGCACCGGTTGTAGCTAGACTAAATCTGGAACATAAAAAGTAAAACATTTAACAACAGTGAGTCAAAGTATGTCTTATTTCATTTTTGTAGCGTTTCTTGTTTTTTTATACGAGGTATATATAACCTTTATATTTCAGCTCGTCAAAAGATGTTAGATAGTTTGTAGACAAATACTATGACAGCTTTAAGTTTTCAAATTCTTAGAAGAAAACATAAAGTTAAAATTACATGACATTTAACCCCCCGAAAAGAGTTATACAAATTAAATCAAGATAGATTTTAACTAATTTTTCAGCAAGAAAAATAAGGATCGTTTGCTTTTTTAATGTTTCTTATTACTCATTATTTTAGAAATATTTATAAATATTGTTGATTTAAAACAATAAAAAATATCAAAGATTATCATAGAGACATTGGAATGATTGCAAACCTAGATTAGAATACCTTTCATATGTTATTAATAATATTTATAAAGATAAATGGTCTCAAAGAATAAAGAATTTTGCACTAGGTATCATAATCTAAAGACCGATTATTGGATAGGTTAACAATGTTCAAAGCAATCGTGTTAATGTGATCTGGGATTACCATCTAAATTTCTTTATATATTGAGGTTCTGTCCAGTGTCCTTGATGCTAAGGATTTGAACAAATTAACACTTAACTCGCGGAATATCTTAAATGGAGATGCCCCTGTTTCATAACGTGCTTTATTGTTCTTCATTTCTAGGAAGAATTTCGTTTCAAAGAAATATACATGGATACTGACTGAATAGCACGCTTAGTGCATTCCATGACCAACCGTGTTGTTTTATCTGGGTCGCCTTGGGAAACGCATTTGTCGCCAGCAGGCCAAGGGGCTAAAGCACGTCACTTGTATGCCAGATGTTAAAATAAATGTACAAAATGGACAATGTACAATTACTATGCCTATTATAAGAATAATAAATAGCAGTTCATGTTAGTATCCTTATATAATTTATTTATCTTTGCAACCCCATCAGTTGACCAAACAAGTAACAAATACAAAAAAAAAAAACGAAAAAAAACAACAAAAAACAAAAAACAAAACAAAAAAACAACAGAAAACAAAGACATGAAGCAAAACAATTAAGTATAAACAAAATAAAAAACTTAATATAAACATCTTGGATCATGAAACTTCATGTGGCAAAAAACCTTTTCTCACTAAATGATTCTAACATTATTCAACCCCCAACGTTTTTACAAGATACATCTTTATACCAACCGCTAATGTTTACAAACAAATGTTCTTTTTCAGTATAAACAACGCCTCACTAAATCCCTGTACAAATTTATCAACATGATTAAACTAATAAAGTTTCAAAGTTTCAAAGTTTTATTCATATCAAACCAGAAGATCAACGACCCATGTGGCAAAATGCACAGTACAAATTACAAATATGGCAATTTACATACTAGCATATAAGACCTGCATAAATAATATTAACGAACATATTTCCGTTTCAGTGTACGTAACAGTAAACAAAACTTATTTAGCAAAAGGTATAGAGTTTTGCATATATAACAGTTTACATAATTACAAATATGCCTACTAGTTTTACAAAATAATTACCTAATGTAAGTGTCTTCTCAAAATGTATCATTAGAAGTCTGTATCATATGACACGGCTCCTTTTTTAGAAAACTTTGCGTGTGTGTTTTTTTTTCTTCAAAACGTTCTATGTTGATTTCCTACAGGTAATGTGTTATTCACGTATAAATTGCCTAGCAACTATGAACCTTTCCGTTGCCTCGTCAATAAATGTAATAAAATATCTTATAAAGTGTTTAACCATCCAGAATAAACGACTTGTCAACAAATGCATTCGTCTGCTATCTCTATATCGTCATGATAAATTTCGCCTCAGCTAATTAATCTCTCTCACAAATGAGGTAAATTAAAAACATGTGCTTGATTAATTATAGGAGCTAATCTTTATCACGCTCAGGAATCTAACTATGCATATTGCACTGCCTTCTTAATCCACCCGGGATTATGTAAGAGTCACAACTACTCGAACATGAATAAATACAAACAACTTTGGTACTGTATGCGTTTTATCATAATTAAAACCAACGTACACGCTCTTCCAGGTGTTTTTTCCAGATGCAACGTATATGGGATAATAATCCAGATTCATTACTCCTTTGTAAAAAAGTATTTATATAACTTAAGCCAGGGATAGAAGCTGGTTTTTTTAGACCCCTAGCATACTCAAAATAAATTTTATCTTATTTCATGAACGATTTATTTGCAACACTTGGATTGTTAAAACGTTCTGAATTAAATATTGCAGTCATTTAGATTACCAGCAACAATGATAGCAATGTTCTAAATTTATTTCGTTCATTTGTGCTCAGATATAGCTAATGAAATTCAAATATCAAAGGTACACAATATACACAAGTAAAGTATTGATACATCTCACATGGATATTCAAATTGGACCTCTTATATCATCTGTGTTTTTGTAAAGAAACCTAGTCATTCCGTTTTACTGTCATTAAACGCAAAAATATCAAATATGTTTAATAAAATTACAAGTTTGCCAACATCTGTAAACATTACTATAATTGATGCTTTTCAATGTGCATATAATTTTATCAGTTTTCTTGTTTAAACTATTGACGAAAATTGTAAAAGGTTTATCGAGTAATTGCATTTTACAGATTTTATGTTTATAAAAGAGATAAAGATAATAATAACCGTAAAAGAACTTTTTCGACACAATATATGGTTACAATTTAATTGTGTAGGACCCCTATGTGACTTATCTGAAAGCTATAAATTGAAGCATTCTTCTATGGTACTGACAATTTAAAATGCAACAGTGACAACGATAACAAAAAGGACGCTTATTTTATTCATTTAATTATAGAGAGCAAATATTACAATGTCGCACATTTATTGAAGTTTTGAAATTTAAGAAATGTCCCAATAACAACTCGTTTGATGATATGAAAGTCAGTCTATAATATTATAACGATACTGGTTAGAAAGCACTTTCAATAGACAATTTTGTCTATGTTTACCTTATAAAATTTTATTGACCTTTTAACATTTTATTGTTATAATTGTGTTCTGTTCTAGTTCATTATCAACTTTTCTCTCTTTGTTTAGTTTGCTTGAAATGCTACTTTTACAATATTTATTCAGTCGTTTAATTAATTTGATTCAAGAAATATAATACACTCAAAAATACTCGCAAACCCTTTAAAAAAATCTACCTATGCGACGAATGTAGCCCAGGATCACCCAGCACATCTGCTTTTTAGTCGCTTTGTAGACAGTTAATACATGCAGTTTGTAATTTCCCCAACAATCATGAATGGTATTGTCTACATTAAAAGATACATGTAGACGGTTCTATTGAAGATATATAGCGTTGTGAGGTTTTAAACAAGTTCTTGAATTTCAACTTTTACATTACTCTTGTATATGATTAATACGGAACTGTCAACCGATAAAAAGGCTTCACAAACTGTGTATTTATGTTAATGCAAATAAAACATTACCTCAATGAGGAAGCATTAGAATAAATATCTAGATAGTTAACAAGTTCTCATATTTTATTAAGATGTCATTTCGTCATGTGAAAGGTTATAGGTTACCTATCCCAATTTAAATAAAAGATAATATCAAAATGATTCGTAATCATATGTTATATTTGGAAAAAATACATTGAAAGGTGTCGTTTAGCAGATAACCTTCTTCGTTTAAGGTGACAAAACTACGAGTTTTTATCATGTTGATAAAGTTTTTGTAAGAACTGATTTGAATTGCTGATTATTTTTTGTACATTTATGATTCATCTCAAAATCTTACTGTCGCGTTTTCACCATCGTAGTTTCGTGATTTCGCGTTTTCATCATCGTACTGTCGAGTATCGCGTTTCAGATCAAACCATTCATAGGCGATGGCCCTAACGGCATTCTGGAGTTATGATCACATTGCACGATGTAAGCTTATCATAAGGTCAATGATATTTGATGTACGTTGAAATGCTCTTGTCTCTTTATTTAGGTTATAATGTGCATTACAGTTGTTTAAGCAATGCAATAATCTTTATATTTCAGATATTACTTAAAGATTTTACAGCAGTGTATTTTGGCTCTGCATATTGCTTTCGGAAGAATCCCCAAGCACAAATTTGGAATGTATTTGAAAAGCAGTTAACAAAAGGAACAAAACAAAAGCAACATTTTATGTCACCGCCAGTTATTATATCCGGTTAAAACCCCAAAAGAACTCAGGTTATATATACAATTGTAGCTTTTTATCATTAGATGTAATGTGAAAAAAAATTCAGACATCTCTCAATTTAATATTAACATTAATTTTGTTTTGCATAAATACGTTTTAATCACAATTTATTTGGTAATTGATTTATCTCATGCTTTCCCTTTGTTTGATAATAGTTATTGTTTTCATGTAGAGTTATACACAACACTTACTTCTTCTCTTTCAGATGCCACCAGTAACAAAAAAAATTTGAATGCTGCTTTGAAAAGAAAGGAAAAAACAATGAAAATTTAGCATTATAACTGACATTAACCAGGCGAGACTAAAACATCATAATTTTATTAATCGAATACATGAAATAAATCATATTTTACTATAGAATGCATTTCAGATATCATGATAACTCATTTGGTTGAAATGAAACAACCCATGATCAGGAAGGGTTGTAGAGTGTCATTAAAACCTCCGAGAAACAACTCCATGACTATATATAACATTATATTCAGGTACAGAAATGTTATATTTTTATTCTCTGAAACAATGATTTATCTAACGGGAGACTTGAATTGTGCTGATTTCATATGCGTTATTTACTTGTGCACTATACAGACTTGTTATAATTACAAAGTCCTGTCTAACAAAATTAAGCAAATCTACAAAGAAAATATCTACGATAATCCAGGATTCATGGAAGAGGATGTCATACAGATATTTCGTAATACAGGATATTTTTTTCAAAATCAAATGTGTTTCAAACACATTTCACTATCGTAAATATTAAAAGGTGAACACCTGAAGCACTATGCGTACACCTGCAGCACCGGACATAGTGAGTATTTACTTTTTGACACTGACATTTACAAGGAGCTGTCGCTAGTCAAAACAAGTATAATTTTGATCATCTAAAAAGGTAAAATGACTTTGATGTATGAAATGAAACGTTTTTATCACAATACATGCTGTTATAAGCGGTTGGTCGTAGAGTTTTTTACATTACTCTTCAAATATAATCTAATGATGTTAGAAAATAAATACAGACCTTATAGTAGGATAGTAGGTGGCCTTTGCCGAACTACTGTTTTCATTTTGGAAAATATTTGATAAAAAAGATCTTAATCGACTTATGAAAGTAGGGTCATCTACCTTGAACTTAACAACAGGAGCACTGGGATATACTGGGATATACATACCTGGTTTGAATCAAAGCACCGTTGGTGCTAAAGGTGTGCGTTGAGTAAGCATGAAATAGCAAATTTTAACGTTATTCTTTAAAGTTGCATTCTTTAAAAAAACATCACAAGAATAATTGAGAGACATTGCAACAAAAGAGATTTGTCATATATAACTAATTCATTTGAACAAGCATTTACAATGTCATCATACTACTATATTTTATCAATTTTACCTTATAATATGATGTGAAATATGCCAGATAAAAAAGGTAACATTTACCTATCTAGCGATATACGAACTTTTTATGAAATATTATATATTTCAGATGACATTTTGGATGAATTTTGAAGAGCGATAGCATCAAACTAACATAAATATGGCTTGAACGTACTTATATAATCTTCGATTCAGCTTAAACAAATAAAGATTTTTTTAGTAAAGTATTTGAATTTCATTTAATAAGAAATGGTATAGATATGTAGGTTTTTGATTGTTTGTTTGATTGGGGTTTTTACGTCACATCGACACAGTATAGGTCATATCTCGACCTTCCAGCTGTACTAGTGGAGGAAGACCTCAGGTGCCCTTCCGTGAATTATTTAAGGCACGAACGGGCACCTGAGTAGAACCACCGACGTTCCGTAAGCTAGCTGGATAGCTTTCTCACATGAAAGAATCTAAAGTCCCTGTCGAGATTCGAACCCACAGCGGTGAGGGGCAAGTGGCTTGAAGTCAACGACCTTAACCACTCGACCACGGACGTCCCAGATATGTAGGTAGTCCTTTTAATGCTTCTTAAGATAGAATTTACAAGTTATATCAAAAAAAGTCTACAAAAAGTTTTATAAATAGAACAATACTACACACGTTTAGTATTTGCGCAGAACTTAAACTATATATTCATAGGTAAAATAAATGTAAAGAAGTTCAAATAATACGATGATATCAGAAAAGAAGTTGTATAAGACAAACATGCAACTCATCCGCCACATAACATTCCGCAACATCTATTCAGTCTATATGCATATTTAGTTACTATGCTCCGCAGTAAACACACACGTTTAGCTTGATTTTTTTTGTTTAGTCGGCAGACTGTAAAAAAGTTAATACAATATTTAAGCACAGTAAGTAAATACATCTAATGCTGCACAACTATACTTGTTTTATATTATCAAATGTCTGGGAGTAATGAATAACTAATGATGGGGTTATTAAAATTACTACATGTAAATGATTTATGATGGTATTGCATAAAACGAAATTATCATTATCTAATTTTCGGTTAATGTTAACTATGATAGCAATTGCTTGCAGCATTGGGCGGCCAGACCTATCACCCGATTGGGTCTGCCCCAGTACACGGCCAACACAAAAACCTTTTAACATTTTAACACAAATGGGGCATCTGTCTTAATTATACCACTTTTCGCACTAATGACGAATGAAGCTAGTTTCCTTGTCCTGTCAAATTAAGGATGAGAAGTAAACGAACAAAGTTCCAATGGGCTGCTTACAATATGATACAATACAATAGATTGACATTTGCCTATAATATCAATTGTCCAATGGTATAAAATAATCAAAACTTTAGTCCATAATTTTATACGGTATAAGAAACTGGGTAAACCATTTTTTCCAATTTTGAATCATTATCAAATATTATAATGCGAACAATTTTCAATGTGGTTGCTGTTCTCGGTGTTCATTGAAAAACGTTTAAATTGATAACAATTTATCAACGTATGCTCTGTTAAAATATTTACTTTTAAATGCAAATAAACGTAATAAAAACATGTCACACTGTCATCTATTGAAAATCCTTTATAGAAATTAAAAGCACCAATTACTTCACATCGGCTTTAACCCCAGCGGTTTACATAGAACTGAACAAGTGTATTCATTAAATCCATTTTGGATATAAAAGAATTTTTTTAATTTTCCTAATGCATGATTGTAGTCACCTTTTAAGTAAACAAGAAGGAGGTATATTTGTTATTAACATTTAACTCTTAATTGATTCTACTAAGTCTACAAATTAACCTTGAAAAGATAGCAACTGCGCTCAGAAATCCGTATTATTGTACAAACGGTAGAGTATGGGGTTATTTTAAAATGTTCTCAAACCACAACCAAAAGTATCTGAGGTTTCATTTTGAAATAAGCAACCAATAATTTCGAGTAATTGTATATTCCATACATCACACACATAAAAAGCAACCATCGAGAAAAGTAAGAATCAAAGTTTAATTACTTAATATATAATTACAAAAATTGATGGTAAAATATATGATGGTGAAATAATTTCATCCCTTTTGCAAAATAAATGCAAACATATGATAATATTTTTATAATATTGAGACAATACACTAGAATTCTGTTCTAGGAGCCATGAAAAAGCAATGGACAAAAGAGAAATCTGTTTTAAATATTGACATACTTATTCTCGAGAAATAAAAACACTTTAGTAACGTACTTTTAATTTTTTGTATGTCTTGTTGTAATTTACTGGAAAACATCAGTTTGTAGACAATAGTATTTCGTTGAAATTATTACAACTTGAATTTGATAGAATAATACAAAGTAAAACTTTCAATGTATTCCTAATAAGAATTAGTTCGTTTATGTGTCAGTTAGACATTGTGAAAATAACCAAACATAAATGGTGTTTAAAATGAACGTTGCTTAACTTTACAGTGCTAGTTCTATCCCTTTTATGTCGTCAACTTGTTAATGACAAGTCGAAGTATAACTAGCATGCTCATTATCGAACATGAAGCTTTGGTTAGTTAGTGGAAATCCAAGCCAAGAATGAGAAAGCTATAAAGCATGTCTTAACTTATGGTATTGTATTTCCATCATGACAAGCAAAATTAAGATAAAAATCATTTTCTTATTTATCACTACATGTTTTTATTACAGTGCTGTGAGAATCAATTATCTAATTAGATAATAAATAAAGGTTGTTACCTAAAATATAATCTTAATCAGATGTCAGCATGTGATATCATGGTTAATATTAAAGCCAAATTGCGTGGGTTTATCGCTCATATTTTTTTGGCTTTTTTATGGTTATTAGATGAAGATATTTTTTGTAATCTGTAAGTTGGATAACAATTTAAATATGATCATGAATCAGAAATACTCGCGGATGCTTTATCACATTGATGTAAACACTTACACAGAAAAAGTGAACTTGTAAAGGAAAATAGTCTTTTATAACTGGTTATAAACATTTAAAAGTATAATGACTTTTGTGGAAATGTACCCTTCAATATTCCATCACTAGTACTTTGGTAATAGGAACAGTGCTTGCTCAAGGAAACAACGACTTGCCCCATGACAGACGATCATAAGACGATAACTAGTCCGATGCGTTAACCACTTGGCAATATCGCCAACGTTGCATTCCGTTATTGTAAATTGTTACCGTAATTAAAGCACTATTTTGCTTCTTCAAGTTTTTTTAACGGAGAGAATATTATTAAAATTTCCAATTGTTTAAACCTAATAATTTCTAATGTGTGTATATAATGTTTCTGCGCTTTTACATCGTAAAAAATAAGTGGTACTATCTAAGTTTGTCAACCAATAGTATAGAGTCAGACCAGACCAGACTGCATGAGAAATTTATGCAATGCAATATAATTATATATAAAGTACCTCTTAAATGAATACATACAAAATCCTTCATAAAATACAAGAAAATGTACTCTTTTGGTAGTATAACGTGTAGCAAAAAAAATCACACACGTGAAGCCAATAAGATGTTATTTCTAGACAATCTCTGGAGTCCAATATATCACATGTCATACCACGATACCACGCTCTTATTACTTTACAAGAAGAATCGATCTACTAATTGAAAGATAAGACAAGCTGTACTATAAGAATATCCTCATCAAAGCACAGTTTTTTCACAGCTAGATACTTAAGCTGAACAATACATACGTGTAATTAAGTATGCTTGCTTAAAATATAATTACAGATAGACAAGTACGATCTAAAATGTGCTTCTTATTATCTTAACAAGTTCCAATTTCTCTGCTGGGAGAACCAATTAAGTAATAAAGTTATAAAGACAGGCTGTAACATAGAATATCTCAGCCAATTAACTACCAGTAACACAACGATATGATGGATTGTTTTACGATGAAGTTAACTGTTCATGTATAATCTTTAAGAAAGCAGACACTGCTTTCAGAACTGATGATACATACAGATCGTAACATAGTATATCTGTATAAAATAGAGAAAATAAGAATCTCTAAAAGAATGTGAAAAAAAGCAAAATTGAAAAGGTTGTAGGCCCTGTTTGATTGAGCCTGTTCAGAGACGGTACAGTCAAGTGCAAACTACCGTCCACGGTCCCTAGCACGGGCCTAAGCAGAGTTCAACATTCAAACATGAAAATTTTGAAAAAACCGCAGATGCGGTTATTTTAGAACCTACAATTTGACACTTTCTTACCATTTCATAAAAACCGGCGTATGGTCCCCTTGTAAAAGAAGGTGTGGTACTAAGTGAGAGCACGATAGGCGGAACTAAAACATTAATCATG